ATTAAATGAGTGGAAGTGGACTGCTTTGCCTTCTATAGCAAAACGAAGCGTTCTCATACGAAGCATACGATGATTTTTCCCGAATTAAATAGAAATTTGCTTTGGCCGATAATTGATACAAACATTTAAACGCTCGTCTATCAAGTGGACTGACTTTTGTCGTCTGCAGTTACTTTCAGATAATAGTTTTGTCTTACGGTAAACGCTTATGTCTACTGTCCGCTGAGGCGTTTATTTCTGATTCAAGAAGAAGGTGCTTTGCTTGAAATTTGCTAAAACTTGTTTGCGTGCATCGAAAATTCATTATATTAACAACAGGATATAATAACAAAGGAACAAAGAGATTTGCAAGCATATATAATTTTAGTTAGATTGATAGATGGAATCCATTAAGACATCTCGGTCTGTTTTCTTAACAACACCTCTATGACCTAAATCGGATCAACGATTATCGATTACATAGATGTATCACAATATACTTTGAATAGTAAGTAATCTTATACGATTACCGCAGATCGCAGGCAGTTGTTAGGATGAAAATCACGTACACACACGTATTCAAAAGGTATGCGATATAAACGATATAAAGCGTTTATGAGTGAACGGTCTTGCAATCCGATATCGTAGATATCAGCTAGGGGGCTAGGAATTAAAGTATTCGCATTATTTGCTTTTTGCATTTTTACTTTCGCTTTGCTGTTTCGTTACTCATACGTCTCGGTGCACGATCAAACATTAAATTGACACTGTTGAGCTCACAAATGTTTTGCGAGCGTATCGCTCAAGGGACGACAAGGAACGAAGGCTTTTCGTCGGACTAACATACAGCTTCATATAGAATAAAAATTTGCAAAAATATCTCTGAACAAGAACTCATTTAATGTTTCTCTAAACGACTTATCAAAATTATATCCTTCTTCTCTTTCTTTCCCTATAATTTGATATTTGCCACATGTGTTTTGTTTTTGTAAATATATATTGAAAGATTGTGTAAAATAGAAAAAAAAGGCAGAAACACTGTTTATAAACTACAATTATTTTAATGTTTTCTTTTAAAATTATTCTTCTCCTGCTCCAAAAAAAAAAAAAAATTACAAAATTTATTGAAAAAAACAACTGCGCTTTTTTATATTCACTTTGGTTCTCCACTAATTTATAAAACTAAAATTTATCCATATTTTTTACATGTGATAAATAAAACAAATAGAACTTTTAAATGTTAAAGTTTAAAAAATTTTGTACAAAAAAGCAAAAAAAAAAAAAAACAATGATTATGAAACTAGATAAAAATTCAAGTAGAAAAAAGCGAAAAAAACAAGAAGAAAAAGAAAAAAGAAACAGTGAAGAGCGCTTTATAAACGTATTGTTTTAAGGTTATAAGGCTCCTCTATCTGTCATATGTGTTTTTCTCTTCTGTTTTATAATAATTAATATTGTCAATATAAAAAACACGAAATGTTGGGATGGGCTGCCCGGTGACCGCTAGTATTGTATTAAAAAATTATCTCATTTATTAATTAATTCAACATTATTGTTATTATTATTACAATTATTATTATATTATTATTATTTGTTTTTAGTTTTTTATACTTATTACAAATTCTTATTTTTGCGTTGTTCTACTGTTGTTGTGGTTGTTAGTTTTGAAAATTACTTTTATTGCAAAGTAAAAAAAAATTAAGTGAAAAACTCAACAATTTCTGTTTAATTCTATTGCTATTGTTATTCTAATTTAATCATTATTATAAATGCTGTTCGAATTGTTTTTTTATTGTTGTTACATATATATAAATATATATATATATATATATATATTTATATATATATATATATTATACCGGATTCTGCGAAATTTTGTGTGTTTGCTTTATTTATGCTCCCAGATTTTGTAGTTGTTTTGTAATTAAATTTAAATAATTTTATATTGATTGTGATTATAAAAAAAAATAAATAAATAAATAAAAATAAAAAAAGCAAACTCCTTCTCTTTACACTTTGTTATACTCCTTAAATTGTTACTATTATTGTTATTGTTGTTGTGTTGTTGCTGTTATTGTCGTTACTGTTGTTGTTACTGCATTTGTGCGTGAATTTCTATATTTCTGTGTGTCTTTGGGTGTGTATGTGTGTATATGTGTATGTATGCAAATGCTAGTGTTGCTTTTTGTTTGCTAATACAAATATAAATATTAAGCTTAAATATTTTTGTTGTTGTTCTTGCTGTTGTCGCTATTGTGTTTTGCTATTATTGTAGTTTGTTTAGTTTTTTTTCTAGTTCTTTATTTTTTCCAGGGTCTTATTTTTCTGCTTTTTACTTGAGAAGAACTTTCATTTAAATTACGAACAACAGCAACAACAAATTTCAATTATATGTATATATGTATGCATGTGTGTACAAAATGAATGTTTGTATAAACATATATGTGTGCTTTATATATGTGTTCATATAAACTTATATATATACATATATATATATATATATATATATATTTGTATATTTTATTTTGATTGAAATGTAGTTTTGCTTTTGAGATTTCCGAAACTACTCCTCATGCACACGATTATGTACATATAAACGGAAAATGTGAGAAAGAGAGCGAAAGAGAGAAAGGAAGAAGAAAAAGCCATCTAACCATCCATTACATGAACATAACTGAATATGTATATACATATGTATTAACATTTGTATATATATTATTTTATTTAAAATCAACTATTGCATACCTGTGTGCTGTTGTTGTTGCTGCTGCTCTGTTCGCTTATTTCAGATCAACCAACATTCCAGGCATTCATTCATTCATTCATACATTCATTCAGGCAGCGAGTGCGCTCTTTTATCGAGCCACATATATATATATAACTAGTCATTTATACGGGCTCTACACGTTTGATATTTCATTCCAATAGCACCTTCACCACCGTCCCCTCCCTCGTCCCCCATTTGCCATCACCCATCTCTTGCCTTCGACCACCCATCAACTCTCTGTACGTTCACATCCTTTTAGTTAAGTGTAACTTTGTGTTGCTTTTAACCTTTTTAAAAGATGCCTGCCTGCCTGCCTGTGTTTTTATGTTTTATTAGAAAAACATTTTATTGTAATAATTTCGTCTTTCTTTACTTTTTTGTACTCATTTTAATATTCCATCACAAAAAGTACATACAAAGCGTATAAAGTATGACTAATGTGTGCAAAGTACTTATAGTTCTTCTCCTCTCTAATATTAATACTTCTGCAGGATCATGTTACACTTTTCCTACATTAAGTTTATATATATATATAATACAACTTTGAAGGTCTTCAAGCAATTTCATTTATATTTCACGATTCGAGCTCATTAAAATTCATGAAAGATATTCTCTTAAATCAGACCCCTTATTATTGCATAATTTAAGACTGTTATTTTCCTTTCCCCATAGCCCCATATTCCAACGAAAATTCGAATATTAAGCCCCTTTAATAGGACTCTTCCAATCGAGCTAAACACATTCGATTCCAATCAACTTTGTTTGTTTAGCTTAGATTTAACCTCGATTCAGATTGAAATGCGTTTCCGCCATTTAAGATACGTAGCGTAAGGTTCCAGAACATAACTTACTTCCTGTTCCCTCCAAGATTATATAACGACATGCATTTCTATGCTATGTGCGTATATAGTCATTCGAATTATCCAGAGTCATAGAAGGCGTTGGACTTCTTTTGAAAAATAGACCGAAGAAATATAAGAAACGAAGAAGGACTTAAGATAACAACACACAGTGTATGGCGTCTGCAGAACTCCCGTTTCGGGCACAAGTTTGGCGAAGACTTGTATCTGCATGAAAACAGCATCGAATTGTTGGTGACTAAATGGAACGATGTCGCAAGTACATGCTCGACTCAACAATTTCATTCACGACGAAAATCGGCGCATTTAGTTAATTCAGCAAATCTTACGTCCAAAATCCCGTATGCGAAACCCTCCCTCCGCCATGACCAACAATTCAAGGGAAGTTTAAAACAGCTAGCGAAGCTAAGACAGAAACTGGCCTAAGCTACACTGCAGCTACTGTCCGTCCGTACTTACCATAGCTGCTCTTTTTCTTTTGACATGACATGCAAATCAACCATCAAGTGCAACAAAAGAGAAGTTAAAGACGGCTAGGGAACCTCCTGCCACCCACCGGCATAACGTTGGGGGCAGAGAGTGGCCTAAGCTACGCTGCAGCTACTATCCGTCCGTACTTACCATAGTTGCTCTTTTTCGTTCGCTCGATTAGATGAGGAGCACTGTGCTCCTCTCGTTTGTGTTGTCAATCCACTGACTAGTTTAATAGTATTGAAGTTGTTGTTGTTGTTGTTATATTGCTTTCTTTGAAATTGCTGTTTACATGTGTGCTTTCATTTCGAATACAAAACGAAATGAAAATAAATAAATAAATTAGAAATAAAATAAAGCATTTACTAAAAAGAAATTCAATTTTATAAATGAGTTAGAGATAGATGCCTTCATATTTTCTTCCTTTTGTATTCTCGCTCCTTTTGATTTCTCCTATTTAATTTCTTGTTTACGTTAACGAAAAATAAAAGAAACACAAAAAGAAGAAGAAAGGAAATAGAGAAACTTGTACAATTCAATTTTTAATAATATTTGCCACCGAGCCTTTGTGTCGGCATGCAAGCTTTCCTTGTACGTATTCTTCTTTTTTCTGATTGTAATTAAGAATTTTTTTATTTTTATTTTTTTTCATTTTATAAAGAATAATGACAAAGATAACCTTTAAAGAATAAACATAAATGTTTTCTTTTTACATGTTTCTCAACAATATTCTCATCTTTAAATAGTGCCTTTAACATGAACACGAAAACAAAACATGAAAAAAAAAAAAAAAAACAGAGAAGAGGATCCTTTACATTTTACTCATAGCATAATATGAAAATTAAAACTTTTTCATAATTTTAGTGAAAATTGTAGCTTTATTTTTCATTAATCTAATTATTATAAAGTGTTTGCCTTTCTTCTTTTTCGTCCATTAAAGAATAGATGTTTGCATAAAAATTCGAATTTTTCCACTTTTCCCGAATACAAATCCAAAACTCTAACTCTCGAATTGATTTCATACGAAATGAAGACATCTCCTTGCTTTTGGGGCTCTGAAAGGTCTCCCTTTAAGGGAACATTGTCCCTCACCCCGTTTCAAATCGTTACTAGACGCACCGGTTGCTCTTTCAAAACGCAAAGAAATCGTTCACAATGAACGAATGAAGAATTTTCCTTCATTTTTTGGCCGTGCTTGCACTTCTCGCTCCATTTGGAGTGTAATCAATTTACGCGAGAGGTCTAAGGTGGAAGAGAGCAAAACTGTTAGTAGCAGCAACAACGGTATCCGTTCACAGTTTTCAACCTGACTTACTCCTATCGTTTTTAGGCTTATAGGCCAGTATTAAAAAAAAAAAAATGAAAAAGTCTAAAGTTAAGCAAAAGGTTTTGCTTATATGGCCACGTTTCTATAAACGGTTTAATTAAATTTAAATAAACAAATTCACTAATGAAAAGAAAATAATTCACACACACAAAGACCTTGCCCGGGATAATCCTTAATAAGGCAATCACTAAAAGTGTTTCTCTGACGGATTGAGAGCATTCTTTGCAAAGTAATTTTCGCGTAATTTAAACAGTGCAATCAAAAAAGAAGATTACAAATAGCCTAACACCCTCCCCCCTTCTCAGAGGGTGTGTCACAGTATAACGGAATATATTTATTATTATTACTGCAGAGTAGTGCCTTAAAAACTGCATCATAAAGTTGATTAAAACATTGACAATTTAAAAATGTTTTTTTAAATATTCTTTCCCCGAGTAAGAATGAAGTTGTTTGAAAATGATTTGGAATTGCAAAAAGTTCAATCAGTTCAAGTAACGAACATAACTGTACCCCTTGTTCTATATTCAACTTAAACTAAACGTTTCGTACACCTGATTATACGCGCATGTAATTGAAAATGTATTTTCCCCAGCATATTCCACATTCGTGTTACGGTCAGCAGTAGATAACCACCGGTATTGACATAATTGCTCTCATTCTGCCTTTCTTAATCTTCGATAATATTATTGCTGTAAAAACTGATTTAAAAATTCTTGGCCCGATCTTTCCTTCACGTGAATGCGATTAATGCAAAAGAAGGGACACTTCACTTATGGTTCGATAAAGCAAGCGGGACTCTAAGTTTCGTAATAAAATTAAAATTTCAAATCGATCTTTTAATCTGTTTGCTTATTTCTCTCTATCGTATCGCACTTCACAACACTCATTGTCGACATGAATGTTCACCGACGTCGACCAACGTACCACTAATGCGGCGGCTGAACGCAGCTAAAGCGAAGCAGTTAATATTTATTCTTTGTTAATGTAAAAGAATTGAAAAAAAACTCTAAAAAATTTAAATAAATTTCAAAAACAAATAGTTAAACGTGTTAGTGTTAGTGTTTTATGCAAACATTTGCTTTGCAAACATGTTTTTTATTAATCTAAATGTGCATCAATTATTAAATATTTTTATAATTTTTTGTTTTAGTTTCACGCGTGAGTTTCTGCAACACTTCGTACTCCCGGTTAAATAAATACAAATGTTTAATATTCGATTTAATTATTAAAACGTAATAAAATAATATAGAAAAAGTTAAGAAGAATAAACAAAACTTTTTTTCTTACTTTTTATTACGTTGTTTGTAATTTTTGCAAACGATTTCATTTAAACACATAAATGAAATAATGAGCCGTAGACTCATCACTTCCACCAAACAAGCAAACAAACTACATTTTCACTACAAGTGATGCTCGGTGAATATAAAGCGGAGCCGAGAAAGATAAACGCTTGTAAAGTCATGTCGATGTTAAAGGACGTCTGCATCTGCCTGGGATCACTTGAAATAAGTTGTTTCGTTGCTCCAGCTTATATTTTTCTAAAATCTTAAGAAAATCATGGCAAAAGAGATCCGCGTCACGTCTTCACCTCAGCGAAACGAGAACGAGTCCCAGATTTACTTTTCAATAAGAAAGGGGACAACGTCACGGTTGCAAAGTCAAATCGCATGTTCGAGTGTTTCAATTACCTCACAACAGCAGCAAACATGTATTTATTAAACAGATTAGTTTTCCTCTTCCCGCTAATTCTGGAAAACAAATGTCCAAAGGCATCGTCATCATCATTGTCCTCAAATATCCAATCTTTTCCTCCCATCAATGAAAATAATAACATAGACAGACAAAAAGGTACTTTCAGTCATAGGATCCAACCTGTTTGTATTCCTTAATATGCTTTTAGTGTCGAAGGATACTTTTTATTTGCCCTTAAACCTTTAAAAAGTTGGTTGTAATTGATAACGACGTTTATTTTTTTTATTTTTATTTTTAATTTTAATTTTTTTTTTTTTTTTTTTTTTTTTTCTCTTTTACATTTTAAGTAAAAAGGCAATGACATTGTCGCGTCATTTAATGCCCATTAACGATTACAAATAAGTTATGATGGTCGTCGTATACAATACAATGACTGATTGGGCAATTTGTCGTGCTCGCGAGTCTTTTTTGTAGCCTGCCGTAGATTGATATTAATAACAACAACAAAAATTTAAGCTTGTACGGCAAAATGTTTATTTGTTCACTCGTATGGTCGTTTGTTTGCTTGTTTGCGCTTGGTAAAGTAAAGTAAAGTAGAGTCTACGAAGAGCACGCCGCGATTGGAAAAACAAGACCTGTCCACATAGTCGTATGCGTATTGAAAACATGCATCGGATTCAATGCAAGCAACACACAATGCAATTGTGTTTACTTTAATGATTATTATTTTAAAAATA